ATCATCATTATCATCTTTTCGTTTTTCTTGTCGACGTAAATGTCGATCTTCTCTATTATAATCATTTTTTTCATCATCAATACGTTTATGTTTATAATTATTTTCATTTGTATTTTGTTTACGATATTCATTTATATCAGAAAAACGTTTACGATCTTCAACTGCTAAACGCCAATGTGGTGGTGTACGTGATCGTGAATGACTTTTTCCAGTATATCTCTTTATAGAACAAAAAAAAAGAAAGAAAAATTAGAATAAATATAAAAACAAAATTATCATCATACCATAAAACCACGACCTTTAACTGGACGACCACTTGAATCGATTTTTTTTGATGAACGATAATTAGTTGGACTAAAGAAAAAAAAAAAAGTTTAGTTTTTTATATAAAATAAAAGATTAGGAAATTTTTCTTACCGTGTATTTGATATTTCATTATTATTATTATTATTATTATCATTTAAAGTAGGTCTCATAAGAAATTTATGAGCAGGTATTTCAGGTATTTCCTCGAGAAGAATTGTTGTTTTAAGACCCATTATATCACGACCAGATATTTCACTTGATTCTTTAAGAATATTATTAGTTGTTTCATCAGGTTTATTTTCTTCTTCAACATTAAGTTTTGCTAAACGTTTTGCTTCTTTTTTTCTTTGATGTTTTTCTTTTTTTTTACGTTTAACTTTTTTTTCTTTTTTCTCATCATCATTAGATGATGGACTACTTTCACTACCTTGTTCATTTTCACTTTCATCTCCTGTTGATATTTTATGTTTCTTTTTTTTATGACTTTCTAAAATGAAGAAATTTCTTAATAATAATAAAAAAAAAAAACAAACTTTGATTTGTTTTACTCGATATAAGTACAAGTTGACCACAATGAGATATAACAATATCTTTCAATGGTCGACTATTATTCGGATCAACTGATACATTTTCAATTGTATCAACTACCTGTTGACCGGATACAACATGACCAAAAACTACATGTTTACTAAATAAAAAAGAAAAAAACAAATATTACAATTCTATTAAAAGCTCTCTCGTTTAGTGATAAAATTTTTTTTTTACGAAGAAATACTTAAGACATACCAAAAATAGTGACGGAAGTATTCTAATTTCGTATAGGAAACAGGCCTCGAAACGAGCCGCCCGGCCCGGTGTCTTATTTAAATTTAATGTATTTTATATCTGTCATATACAATTCAAATTACTGAAAAAGTTTACAAGAGAAAAAATATTCGAGTTCTAGATTGAAATATTTTTAAAAAACATAATAACATCTCAAAGAATTTTATGTCTCGACCATATACTTTATTCAGTAGTGTATTAATTACATTAATTACTATGAGAATATGATTGACAGAAGAAATGTGTCGAAAACAAACCGTTACAAATGACAGTTTATTCAACTCTTAAACTTTGATTAACTAGTAACTCAATAGGAAGTGTACCATTTTTTTGAGTTTACGCTCTTTCTAGTTCGGGCATTTAGTGAAGTAAGACTTATGTAAGTCGAAAGTGATCTGCATAAAAAGTAGAAAATATTGTCACATAGTTTTCAGATCTAATTTATTGTTTATAGAAATAACTTATTTTTTATATATTCATGTGAAACTTGTGATAGCAACGGCAAGTTTGGCAGTTACATATTAAAGCGGAGTTAGAAATTTTCTAGAGCTTATTACTGCGCACTATCTCATCGAATGATTCTCATCGCTAAAACTTTCAACTAGTAATATACTACTCTTTTCGTGCCTTTTCCTACTAGAGAAACAGTGCTGAAGGATATTCAGTCACACAAAACAATCGTTGTTGACTTTAAAAATCTTCGAACATCTTTTGTTTGTTCTTTTGACTCAATAAGCAGCTCGATTTATCCCATATTGATTTTATTTTTGTCTCAGCAATCTGACTAAAAAATTCCCTATAACATTCGGACAATATGTTCTTAAAGACATTGTTAATCATGCATGTGGTTTTTGAATTCTGGCATGGAAAAATGTCCGTAAAAAAAATCTTCATCGGCCCTGGGTCGGGCCGGGCCGGGCGGGTCACCACTTTAGATGGGCCATAAAAATGAGGCCCGTTTCGAGCCCTGATAGGAAACTTTCTTTCTGTATGTGCTGAGAGAGTAAAAACAATGCTCGATTTCATCATACTTTAACTGATATCATAATAATAAAATTTTTGAACACAACTATTTGTTATGATATGTGCAGGAGCGTAGTCAGGAGAAGTGTAGATAGAAAAACTTTTCTCGAAACAAAAAATTATTTTCTTATTGGTGTGCAACCCTTTGAAGAATTTCTGAATACGTGACGATAATACGGACGTGAAAAAGTGGATAGATATTTTTTGAATGACTTATATTTAATTGAGCCATAAAATAATTTGAATTAGCAATAATTATATAGAGTGAACAATAATTAAATAGAATGAGCAGTAATTATACTGAATGAGCAATAATTTATTTAAATTAAAGGTAAATTCTATATAAAAAGGATATTCTTTTTTTTCCTACCTTCTCTTCTACGATGTCGGACAGATGAGAAGTACGATACATATATGTCGCAGTTGACTTTAAAATATTTCAAAATCAACTAATTGCTTTTTAAATTCAACTAGTCGCCTTTAAAAGGGAACTCAATTTTAAAATCAACTCCGATATATACATATCTTTTGTTTTCTTTCTCTTTTCCTCATTTGGATATTTCTCTTCTCTTGATGTTTTTCAGATATGTTTTCTTTCTAGAGTATTTGATTTTTTCCTAGCTCATTCATATATATATAATTACCATTTCTCCAATAAAGTAGTAGTTCAGTACTGATGTGTTAGATCAATCACCCGTTAACAAAGGGCAATATGAATTCACTTATATATACAAATATGTATTTTTTCAATTTTACAAAATAAAAAGAAAAGGAGACAGGCTATCTAAAGCAAAAAAAAGCTTTATTCACATAATAATATACTGTTTTTTATTTTTCTTTGTTTTATTGCTAAAATATAAAATTACTACTGCTACTTAATGAATTAATTATTATACATTTAATAATAACAAATTACTCAAATAAAGTTTTTTTTTTATTGCTAAATCGTATTTTAATTATTGCCCATTTCAGTATTTACAGTTAACAAGAGACTACTAGCCGAAATCTTCCGAGATCTATTTTTCATATGAAAATAAACACCAAAAAATTCGATTAAAATATTACTATTCCTATCTCATTAAAATTTGATTTTGTGAAATACGATTTTAAAAGAGTGCTGAAGTATAGGAATGAAAACTTGGAGTCCTCTCCCCATAGACCGGCATAAACACTGTCGATATACGATCAAAAACTGTATGCCAAATATGAACTACCTACTTGCTGCATTTCTAAAGGATTTACTAAAAGGATGACGAATAAATGTGTCTTAAAATAGATAGAATGAAGCAATCTTCTTGTGATTAGCAAGAGCACCTATATCGTATTTCACATTTTAATCTGACAAAGATTGCGCTAACAATTTTTAATTTTAATATTATCACTGATTTCTGAATATTGAAAAAGTTTACCCATCGAGATGTGATGCTTCAGATGTTGTACTAAAAAAATAGAAAATAAATTTTTGTTATTTAAATTCATCGAATAAATAAATAATTGATTTTTCTTACATGAAAAATTGTGATCCATTTGTATTCGGACCTCGATTAGCCATCGAAAGAAGATATGGTCGATCATGTTGGATTTGAAAATTTTCATCTAGAAATTTTTTTTTTATTAAGTTTTCAAATAATAATAATAATAAAAATCTTTACCGTTAAATGTACCGCCATATATTGATTCACCACCCGTGCCGTTGCCTGGAATTTAAAGACCAGATAGACACAAAAAAATCGTATATCAATTTATATTATTCAACACCCGCTTTTGATGCGTGGTGACTAAAAGAGATAAAATAGAATTCAACGAGTATTCTATTTCTTCTATCTTTTCCCTTTTTAGTTAAAATATAAATTGATGATCAGAAGAAGTTGAATCAACAAAACAAAAAGCCAAATTATTACCTTCAGTAAAATCTCCTGATTGAATCATAAAATTTTTCACTACTCGATGAAAATGACATCCTTTATAATATAATTTTTTATATAATGTTAAACCACGACCTTTTTCTCCTACAAAAATTCAAAAACAAAAAACGATAAATCAAATCTTTAAATTAGAAAAAACAAAATCGAATAATTTTACCTGTACATAAACATCGAAAATTTTCGCATGTACGCGGACATGTATCATTAAAAAGTTCAAATACAATACGACCAACTAAAGAAAACAAAAAAGATAAAAAAAAAAAGAACCTTTAGATAAAAATTCTTTTGCATATACGAATACCATCATTGCCATCAATTTTGATATCAAAAAAACAGCGTAACCTAGATGTCATATCTAAAAATATTAATCTATTATATTGCATTTATTCAGGTTAATATAACTTTATTATAATAGGGTGTATGATTCGATAATTAATCGATACATATATAAAGAATAACATAATAAGACAAAAGAGGAACAAAAAAAAAACAAACAATAAATAACAACGGACTGTTCTTCTTTCTTTATTTTATCGTTTTCTTTCATTCATTGGTAGAAGAAATTAACTAATAATAATAATGTTTTATTTATTTATTTATTTATTTTATCATAGAATTTTTCTCATTGATTGTAGTGACATTAAAACAAAAGAAAAAAAATCAATCAAATTTCTAGCGCGAGAAAATCATTATTGTTTCATTTCAATAAAACATTTTTTGATATGGGTGCAAATAATTCAAATACAAAATATCATGAAAATATTTGTAATACACCACCAAAAAATAATATTCAACTTTTATTTGATCCTCGATCTCCTAGTGGTAAAAGAAAATTTAAATTATTATTATAAATTTTTCTTTATTATTAAGATGCTATTGCTCGAACACCAATTCAAATTGATAGTCAAATGTCAGTACAACCTTTAAAATCATATAATCATGTTGTTATGCCACGTATTATTGGATCGGAGATAAGTTTACATGAAGAAAATAATCATTCTGAAAAGAAAATGAATCAAAATTAAATTCTTCGGTTACTAATAATAATGAACAATTATTATCGTATTAGATATGAATATTTCTTGCTGTATAAATCAAATAGTAGATGTTACATGTGTATATTTATATGTAATCAGCCTTTTTTTTTCTTTTTCTTTTTCGTTATCTTATATTAGTTCTTTTTCTATATTAATAATAAAACATCCACTCGTAAGTAAAATTATATTTTTAATATTTTAAAAAAACATGTTTGTTTATGGTCAATCTGCTAGAAATTACTTTAAACGAGTCAAAAAAAAAGGGGGGGGGCCTTTATTCTCTCCCACAATGTCCAACTTACTGTCAATCTTCTACAATTTCGTAGTAACTTTAGACAGAAATCGATTTTTTGAACACTATTTACCTTTCGCTGGCAGAAAGTGAAAAAAAATAACAAAATAACGTCGTTGCGAGGTGAATAGGATCGAGAGAGAGACGGCCGGATGAAAGCACTTTATGCAGAGTTTTTAGCCAAAGCTATGATTTAGAGACTGTTTGAAAGAGCTGAAAAACTATTTTTAATAGTGAGCTAATAGGTTTTTATTTACCCGATAAATCCCTTTTCGAACATGCTAAGAATTGTCAGAATCGGCCGCTTTGTAGAGCGGACATTTCTCTACAAAATGTGTTATTGAACTAAGCTGTAGCTGCTGCCCATGCATATTTTCAGGAGCTCCTTTCAACATAAAAAGCCTTGTCGGTTTTTCAAAAATGAATATTCAGGAAAAAACGAAAATTAAAGTGCTTTGTCAGAAGATTAAAAAAAAACTTCAAATAGTACATTTTGTAGGATAACTTCTGATCTACAAGCTAATGTATAAATTAAGATCCTAATTTTTAGTTAAAGATTATTTCCATTATTCTGGAATAAAACCGAAACAAAATTTCTAAGTCCATATTTGAAAATAGTACAAAATCATAGCTTTCGACTCGTTGAAAAATCAATCTGATCCGGTAAAAGATTTCTTAATGACCGGTTTAGAGTGTCTTTTTTTCAAGAACTTGATCATATAAGTGTTTTTGTTTCACAAGCGAAACCATTTTTACTGATGTCGAAGACTATTTCTATGAGGAAACATGCATTAGAATATTCTATTGAGTAAAAATTCATCATAATAAACTCAGTATATTTTTTTAATTCACATTGGCATCAAATTATATTATCGAAAAAAAAATCAAATAATTATTTAGTATTATAATTTTGTCATAGATGATTTGTATTAGTTATTATTTTTAAAGCATACGACGCACAGACACAGGAGATAATAAAACAAATATTGCATATGAAGCAAATTAAGTATACGATTAATCAAAAATGTCTATTTGTGATGGCCATTTAATCAGTGCACAAAACTTATGCGCCAGTCCGCGTACACTACGACGAGAATCTGCTCAATCAGAGATCCTAAAATGCTGCTTGCATCGACAATCAGATCTTAGACCGTAGTGTTTGGAAAAACAAACGTTTGAGTGATATCCTATTCATTGCGTGAGAGAAAATTCTATTGAAAAAGCTTTCAGTGCAATCCCTACGGGATTAAAAATGTGAAACACGATGGAGCTTTTTATATTGTGAATGAAGGAATTTGGATTTTCTTTGTCACGGTCTATGCCGTGTATTGGATTTCTCTGTCACGGTCTGTGATGGGTATGTGGAACGATAGGATGAGAAAGAGATGTTATAACAGACTGGAGGAGTTGCTAGCCGCTACTCGGCAATGATGTTTATTAGCTACTTCACATCTCCAGAATGTGTATATTGCACGTTCAACACAAGCTTATATATGATAGAGAAACAAAGAGAGAGGCGATACAGAGAGAACAATTGAGAGAGGAAGAGCAGTGAGTCGTGACGTATATATCGGTACAGTATGAATTTTCTCTGTCACAGTGTGCGGGGGGAGGGGGTAGGTCCAAATTTCTGCTCTATACACTTCAACACTCCTTTTAGATCGTGTTTCACAAAAAGAATAGAAAATATAATAATAAATATTTTCGATAATATAATATGAAAATGACAATTTGGAAATTATGTCGAACAATAAAGATTAATTAGCAAATACATTAGAGGAACATAACCAACTACTAATTGACAGGTCCAAGCTAATCTGTTTAAATCATCGAGATACATATATGTTTATTGAGATAATAGTATAAATCATACCATATCATTCTTGTTATATTGGAAATAATGATCTTGAATGAAATAAAATCAATAAGATTGATTATATTTTAGTGGTGAAATCTGAAATCGATTCATGTCAAAGATCATTTCTTCATTGTGACTCATTGGTGATATTCAGAATTGTTGTGAGAGCATCAAGATTAGAAGGTGAGTGTGAAGAAAATTTTCATATAAGATAAACTAAAAAATACTTCTAGAATATACTGTTAACTCTCAGAAGACCAGTTTTCAAATAATCGAATCTATAAGTTCTGTAATACAGAGAATGCCAATGTAAATATTTTATATTTTAGCTTCATCAGAGATTGCAATGGCAAGTTGTATTTTGAAAAATTTTGCGAATCTCAGATGGTGAATATACGGATGCGAAGATCAGAAACTTCTCTTTACTTATATCCACACAACGACCATACAGAATGGTTGTTTTTCAGATTAGTCAATTTTTCTTAATAGATTTTCAAGAAGTAATTATTGATGATGTAAATATTTTTTTTGGAGATTATATACTGGCAAAATTGTAAATGAAAAATCTCTCAGTATTTACAGTATATACTTCGACTGTCATTCATTGTTTTCTTGAATTTAAAATTTTGTGCTCCAAAAACACGTGATTATATTGTAACAAATTTTTTTCTTGTGTCACCTTATTACAGCTGTGCACATCTCTCATTCATGGAAAGAATACGAGTTGTTATTACAGATACTATTGCGTTCGAACGATGATGATGCATTCGTTTCGTTCGTTATCGTTCTTCTTTGACGCAGACTCGCATTTGTTTGCACAAACACACTTAAAAATGAATGATAAAAATAATCTTTCATTTATTAGCACACAAGACACATTCGCATACAGAACAACTTATCAAGCAACAAAAAAAACGTCTATCAGCAAAGAAAAAAAAGAACAATTTCTATTTAACTAAGAAGACGAACAATTCTTTTCTTGCAATTTTTCTGTCCTTTTTACAATATTATTGAAATTTTTTAGACGAACTAACTAACAAATGGAAATTGCAATTCATTTTCATTTATTGTATGATCATCGATCGATAAGCAGTATATGGTTAATAATTTTGTGTTTGTAAGACGAACGAAATAGCAAATAAAGACAAGAAAGAAAGAAAGAAATACGGCAGAAAATGGTAATCTTTTTTCTGTTGCATGCCATTTGACTTCGTACGTAGCATGATTATGAGAAGATAACAGCTAGACTAAGACAAGCTTAAGCAAATACGTATTGATGATATAACAGTAATGGAAAGTTATAGGACATTTTAACATTGACATGATCATGATCATATTTTGAACTAGTCATAGTTGTACGAGTGCTATTCAGTATTCGTATTAATTTTCATTTGTTCTATCTTAGCCAAAAAAAAGAAACAACCATTCACAATTGAGTAACATTATTGATCAACTGCATTGAGTATCTTAAATTCAGCAATCTAAAACACATCACTTGAAGCTATGTTACAAATGTATAGTATTTGAATGAATTTTGCTGAGATTTAATCATACTCTTTGTAGATAATTGATTCACATTCTAACGATTAAGATTATTTGACTGATATTTTATCAACATATTCTACTAGTCTTCACTAAACTAGAATCTTATAGGTGTTCATGTGAGAGTTCAACGAAAATGAACATATATATCTTTTTTGCCACATAGTCAATTTTCAAATAGGTATCCATTACTGGTTCATTCTATGATAAACTGCTAGTTTTCTCAAACAAATATTCAGGTCAAAACTTTCTATTAAGATTTTTCGTGCTTCAATCGATGCTTAAACATATCCATAATATGAGATGGAATGGTGTCTAATATTTGAATGTATTTCATCATCAATTATGAAAACGACTATCGTTTTTTCTTTGCATCGTTGATTGAATAAAAAAGTAAACATGTCAATTGAGTTTGAATTCGAAGATATTCGGTTGACTAACGAAGGAAGAACTACTATTGAGATTCGGTCGAACTATTGAATTTCCAATATCTTTATTTTGTCAGAGGCTTCTGTGGAATTTCAAACTGACAGAAATTTTTTTTTTGCAGTAACTCTTAAGATCTTATATATAGTGGTAGCTTTCCTCGGATTAATCGACATATTATGAATTCAATAGTTTCAA